TGGCTAACTGGCTTGCGAATTCTGAGATAAAAAATAACCCAACCATTATTAATTAAAAGATCTTAAAAATAGATGCAGAATGGTTTGATTTAATGAAGTGCTAAGCTGAAAGAAAGTCTTCTAGTAAATAGCAAAAGAAAACCAAAGTATCCTAATCAATAGAAGAGGATTCTGAAATGGAAACTAGCCTGACTACTCAAGCACATAAAGAGAAGCAAAGGGATGATTCTGAAGAAGATCTAAAGAATCTAGATAAAAAGTGTCTTAGTCAGTTCTATTTTCAAATAATGAAAGGCATCAGAAAGTATGACAAAAAAGAATTCAGATGGCAAAAGATATGTTTAAAGTAGATGATGCTGAATATACATTTTCAACCTGATTTGCAAAAGTTCTAAGTAAAGATTTAATAAATATATTATTAACAGCTAAAAGTGAAAAAGAAGTTGTAAAGAAAGCAAAAGAGCTATATTTACATAGGGGATAGTATGATGAAAAAAGGATTTCAGAATATATAGAGGTATTGATAAAGGAATATAAAGCAGAAGATAAAGGAAATCCAAAATGGAAAGAGTATGTAGAAAATGTTTTTGAGACGGAAGAATTGTATGAAGCTAAAATGACTAAAGAACGTGCTAAAAAGATTTTAAATGCAATAGATGATGATAAGTTTCTTATAAGAGTAAAATTTATTTGAGAAAATAAAGGTAATTTCAAAATTGTTGACAAATATGAATCCATTCGCTAGTAAAAAATTTGTTTCAGAAGGATCCAATATTGTGCTTACAAAGAAAATAAAGCTAGGCTTTTAGGTAGGAATTGATGAAAAGTTTTTAGTTAGAAAGGTCTTAATAGAATCTGATATAGATGACCTTATGGCTAATGCAGTTATCTATAGATTATATAAAATTTGAGAGCCAGATAGTAATCGATTAATGTCAATGAAAGATGATACACTTAATTGTATAGCTCAGCAAGTAATAGAGCATTTTGAAAAAGCAAAAAGAGTTATGGTTTGACTAGTACACATAAGCAAAAAATTGGTATATAGGAAAAAAGAATACATCAACCTGGTACTCAAGTAGAGAATGTAGCAGAATTAAAAAAGATACTTAAATGACTAATCACATTGCGTGATATTACCTATGGAGTTATTTTTAATAGTGAAAAATATTGAATAGGTAGGTTTGAAGAGATAGAGATGATAGTTCATAATGGCTATGCATTCTCTAGAAACTATCACTTTTCAAGAGATTGAATGGTGGAGTATTATAATGATAATATATGGAAGACTATTAATAAAGCTCTTCAAGGATCATAAGTAATATGGCTTTTTGGGCTTAAACTCAAAGAAGAAGAAATATTGGAAGAGATCCAGTCAATATCCTAATTTGTTCTAGAAGATGATCATACATTTAGAATATGGATGAAGCATACAGATATTATAAAAGCATGTAAGGAATTATTTGAAGATGTAGTAGACTGACAATTTTAGGAAGGAATAATTAATGAGAAAAGAAAGCGAAAATTCCTAGAATCACTTAAAATAGTTAAATTAGCAGAATAGGTATTTAGTGCTAATCATGCTAGAGGCAAACTTGCTAACGAGATCAATGATTAATATTCTACTCTGGCTAGTGTATATTATAATATAAGCAATCTTGTATTGAATATGAGTATGGAGGATGCTGGAATGCACTTAATTATCAAGTCAGAGATGTTATATGTATAGATATGAAGGAATGCTATCTGGTAGTATGCATAGGTAAGAACTTTTAAATTTGTTTCTAATATTCATCCAGCAATTTCTGTTTGGTATAGAAAACACTTTGCCTGTTGAAGTGGAGAAAGATGTAGGAAGACAAAAGATTAGACACCTATTGTACTTTTACGATATCTTCTTGAAGCAGATATTCTGAAAAGTATAACTATAAGTAAAGCTATTATTTCTCTTACTAAGTAGATAAAGGTATAGTTGCCTAAAAATTGAGATATCAGTTACGCAATTATAGGAAAATTCACACAAGAAAATAAAGTTGAAGAAAAACGCCTTACTCACTAGATTGTAATAGACAAAGGTGAACTTGATTTTTTGATTTAGGATTGCATTAAAGAGGGAACAATGCAGGTAGTGATAAATGTCTGCTTAGATATATACTTATATATTATAAAGGGCATCAGCCCTAGTACACACATTTGCAAGCCTTAATGTTAGCTTATGTTCATATAAATTTGTCAGAAAATTTGGCCCTAATGAAGTAGTAAGAATCGCAACAGATTCTATATATATACAAAGAGAGGCCTTATATAAGATCAAAAATGTATCTGCCTTCTTTAAGCAAGCTAAGCAAAAGATCAGCCATTAAGGTGTAATACAAGATAGTCAATCTAAAAATTCAGTAGATACCTTTCAATGTTCGCATAAAATTTCTTCTTGTGCAATGTGTAGAACAAGAGGCTATTATTCAAAAGAAGCAGTCAAAGAATTTATCAAGAAGTGATGGTTCACTATGTGAACAGAAAATCGAGCTATTTGTCATGTAACGAGCATAAGCTATTCATATATACTATTTACTTTGAAAATTGGTACTTTCGCTCAGGTTCTTGGAAGAATACCAAACCTAGTAGAATTGTTACCAAAGAGTCTGAGTCATTAAAAAAGGAAAAGATTCAAGAAATTCAGCCTGGCTAATGGCATAATAAAGGAGAGAAAATTCATGATTCAGATTCAAACGTTGTATACTGGCCAAAAAATAAGCATTGGAAATTAATTAAAAATATTACCAAAAATACTGCTCCATCAATTCGTGATCCTATTACAAGATCCTGAGTTTCATATCTTAATGGAGGTAGTAGTTCTGAGAAGATAACACGTGCAACCTGAATCTTTAAAGATATAAACATAGTAGTCTTTACTCATATGAATGCGCTAGCTAAAGACTTCTAAAATGACCGTAAGATAAAAACCCAAACTTGGCATAACTTCTTTAGGTAGAATAGTGTGGGAGAATAGATGCCTGAACATATGAGAGAGAAGATATTTCTGCAAGTTGTTATTTGGGATGAGGTATGCACAGTACCTAGGCACAGTGATGTACATTTTTGATGTCCCAGAGATTTGTTGTCCTAGCTATATGTCCTAGCTATATGTCCCAACCTGTCCCACACTATGTCCCAAATGTCCTATCTGTCCCATCTATGTCCCATCAGTGTCCTATCAATGTTTCATGACAATACTGCCTAGGCATATTCTCGAAATGTTTATTAACTATTTATTAGAACAGAAATGCCAAATAATTTGCTATAGTGACAATGTCAACCTCTATCATTCTTTGGAGAAATGCTTCATGACTGGTTAAAAGAGCAAGCTGATTACTATGAGGAAGTTTTAACTGACTATCGGGTCAAATACTCTAGATTATAAAAGCTTAAGAAAAAAATGCAATGGCAAAATAATAGAATGCAGTCAGACCTATTCTGTGAAGCACTTCTGGTTACAGAAAAATAGAAATATCTTGAAGTTAAATAAAAGCCATCAGATCGTATCTTATTAGCACATCTATTTTCCTGAAAAATTGCTTCCCAAAAATGCTTAAAACTTCATCAAGCAAAATATCCCAATATGCTGATCCTATTAATCTATAGGCCAAAAGATAGATGCAAACAAAATTGTCTTGTTTTAATTCCCAGTTCATCCGAAAAAAAGGAACTAGTGACAAATAATGTAATACACCTGCTCTTAAATACACTCCCTGACAAATTCTTAAAAGATATGTTAGCAGATAAAAAAGTCATAGATTAGGAACTTAAATATTTTATGACTATTCACACTAATCAAGGAATGCTTCACAGCGTATTTGGATCATCAATGAAAATTTAGCCTGGAATAATCTAATATATTTAGCAATTGGTCATGTAAAATATTTAAGCTAACTCATTCAGGTTGAAGCGCCTCCATTACCTCCTGAAATTATCCAAGAGATTGAGGAAGCAAAAAAGAAAAGATAGCTAGAGCATGAATTGAGACAGTCTATTCAGAAAAAACTTATCAGATATATGGGCTAGGATAAGGAAAAAGGCCGTAAATTTGAACTAACAGTTGACTATATCCTCATGTTAAAATATATTCAAGAAGACAAATGCGCATTATATCTCATTGAAATGAAATTTGAATGGAATCAGCCAGAAGATATATTCTAGTAGACAGTAGATCGAATTCATAATAATTTGAGACATATCAAAGGGAATGTACACCTCACTTGTCTTCTTTGCAACTGAAATCACAGAGTCTAGTTCATGCCAATGATTCAGATTAGTGATATGATGCATATATGCAATTTAGAGGAAGCAAATCACAGTATGTACATAATTATAAGATTTTTTTTCTAGTATAATAAATATTCAATTATCTGTAAAAGATGCCAATCAGATTAATTGAATTAGATAGATCTTTCTGAAGGTAAACATAGTTTACATGAGGAATATGGCTAAAAAATAGAGAAATAATCAGTGCAAGACTGCAGGTAAGTTTACTACTAACTCCACGCAGATTATACCACTATATAATCTGAGTAAATATGTACATACATATGATTAGATAACTGGTTTTATTACTATTAAAAATATAAAATAAGACAGGGTGATAGATGTGTTTGATTATCTTGAGCTATGTGAATATCTGAAGTCAGATACTCATCATTAATATTATTTTTTTTCGATTAAAGATATAGGCTCATATAGCAAAGTATGAGATTTAATAGCAATTTGCATAATATGTAAAGTTTAAATGATATTATAGAAGATGTGAATATAAATATTAAAAAAAGTATTTTTAGCAGGGGTTGCACCTGAATTTTGACAAAAAGCCTATATAATTGGACTTAAATTGACATTGGATAGATTGACATGAGAGGTAGAATTTATGCAAAAAAATGATTGTTCTTCTGAGTCAGTCAGTCTGAAGCTATAACCATTAGTCTTGGAAGATTTTTGGTTAGGCCACAATGCATAAGCAGATCTGTGTAATGATTAACCTTATTTTTTTGATTGAAAGATATTCTAATTATATAAAAAATGCATACAGCTAATTTGCTTGATCACCTTCCGTCTGAATTAATACCATTTATTCTAAAGTATCTCCTATACCAGGACCTAAAAAATTGTTGTATAAATGATATATAGAAAAAAAGAGGTAAGTTTTGAATTGCCTAAAAGAAAAACTCTTTAGAATTTTAAAGTTGGAAAATTGGTTTAAGACAATGATACAGTAAAAGACTTTTATTCAAAACTAATAGAATATAACAAAAGTATGAGCTACTATGAAGAACAGCTCAAATGGCTATTCTTCAAAGGATTATCAATTGAGAATATGTTTAAAGTTGATATGGGTTGATTAGAAGAACTTGTGTTAGATGAATTAGTGAAAAGCCTTAGTCCAGAATAGTGATCACCAAAGAACTTGCTAGCCATAATGCGTGTACTCCTGTGCAATAAAAATAGGCTGATCATATAATAGATCTGTGTGATATATTAATTTTTGCATATATATTCAAAAAAGAAAATATACTAACCTTTATTCTTTATTTTTTTCTGAACAAACACGAGAAAATGTGAAAGGAGGTTTACATGCAACATAGGATCTACTGTAAAAGTAAATAGTGTCGATAAAAGCATATGTTATGAAAGGCTGAGAACTTTGTAATTTCGAGATTGCTGAATGTAAGACAAACTATGTGTCTCTCTAGTGAATCTACATATGAAAAGGTATGAGGATTCCATTTGCATGTGCCTTTATAGAACTCTTGGCATTATATGACAATGCTAATCACTATATTTTATCTCCTTATCTTTTTTCCAGCAAGATATAAAGTATGTAGAGGTATGTGGAAGTTCAGCCAACATTCTCACAAAAAAAATAAGGTATATACAGTATATGTTCTTTAATGTGAGTGGGCCAAGGAATTTTCTCACTATGGATCTTGTATTTAGGAAAACAAAATGACCGAAATCACTCTCAATTGTCTTATCGTTCCTATAGGAAAACTTATGAATATTCTATGCATTAAAATAATGCAATCAATTACAATTTATAAAGCTAGTACCTATAGAGAACTTAAAACTGTAATTCAAAGCAGATTGGAGGCATCATTTAGTAAAATCCCTCTCAAATTCTGTATAATTCAAGCCAGAAGCGGTATTGAAAAGGAAATGGATAGATATAATATGTTTGATGAAATTTTTACTTCTACTGAGAAGCCTAAAGCAGAGCACTTTCATATTACTGTATATCCCAAATAATTTTTTGTATTTTGTAATAGCGATATAGTCGCAATTTATGTATTATAGGCCAGTTCTAGCAATATTTTTTATTTCATAAATAAAGTATTATTATTGTACTGTATATGAGAAATGGGTCACGTGTAATAATGCAATGTCTGTGCTACATAAAAATCTATATTAATGGCTAGTATTCTCTTCCCTAAACAGAAATAAAATTTTATCTTACTCTGAAAAGTAACACTATTTTTTGTCTGAGCCTAATAATTATATAAAAAGCGCTATATCTAAAACTAATATGCTCGCCTCTACTTCTACTTCTGTTATTGCTACTGGAAATGACTCAGTCACTCTTGTAGACAAAATTAAAAAATATAAAACGGCTGAACTTATTGATTTCTTAAGTAAGAAGGAGGACTTAGAACTTGAAGAAGAAGACTTAAAAATTATTCGCAAGCAAAGGGTTAATGGGACTTCTTTGACTTGACTGAAAAAAGCTTGAATGTCATGGAATGAAAATGGGACTAGCGATGAGGCTTGTGAAGTTCACTAAGGAGTGTAAGGAGAAAAAGAAGTGTACATTCTCAACCTATCGCAGTTTGAAGGAGGTGTTAGTAAAATATGACATTAAAAGCAGTAGTATAACAAGTATTTCACAGTTTGAACCAGGTAAGTAAGTTTATACTGGCTATTACTATTATAAAAAATCAGACTCACAAATTTTATTTAGTCTCTCGCCATATTGATGAGGAAAATCTAGCATTCAAGTTCTGTATAGAGGATATACTATACGAGATAAAAAATATGGGACCTGTTATAGATAGTAATGAGGCGATGCGTTATAAATGCATTTCTACAATCTTTTATACTACTATCAGCATTCTCGAAAGTTTAGTTATCCTATCTCAAATGGAAGTTTCCAGTGAAGAGAGTTCTGGCTGTGTCGACTATGCCATCAAAAGAGTTATAGACAACTTGTTGGAAGAAATAATATGCATTATGAAGGGTAAACAGAATCTGCCTGGAATAGGCATTGCTCAAAATCTCATCCAATGTAAAAGTTCATGTGAAGTAAGTAATATTTTTTATATGTCTAGCCTTCATTTTAACTATCAGAATATACTGACCAATCATTATCTGTAATCATAGATAAATTTAAATATGCTCAAGAAAAAGCGTACGGCTGATGAAGCATTTGAGGAGTATGAATATATCTATGGCATCGTCATGACAGGTAAAAAATAACTTTAATAAATCTGTTTTTTATTCTTCTGATCTTTTGCATCACTAACTTGTTTTATAATTTCTTAGCCACGGACTAATATTTCATTCTATATAGCACTAAGGCTATTTACTATATGAGCAAAACTGAGTATTGCATCTCTCTGATCGAAGATACACTCAAGAATTCAACTGATTTGCGCAATAATGTGAAAAGGATTTTAGAGGTTATAGTGTGTTTGTTAAAAGATATGGTATCAGTTAGTGAAGAACCTGTAAATAAGAAGTGCTGTGTAGAAGAGATAATCAAGAAAAAATAATTGTATAGGACACTAGCATAGATGTCATATATCATAGGCAAAGTCCTGAACATTTGTATTTATTTTTCGCATGTATTAATAAAAAATTTTCTTAGCAAAAACTGTTCTCTCAGAAAACGATCAGCTGAAATAACCTATATATTTTACTTGACTGTTTCTATATATACTAACGAACTTTTAAATATTTCTGTTCTTGTATAAAATTTATCGATGTCAAATATTCAATTCAACAATTCATTAAGAGAATTAAATGCCAAGCTCTTAGCTGAGATTGCTGAGCTTAGGAAGAAGTTTGCTAAAATTGAGAGGGAGAATGCTGAGATTTCTGAACTTAGAAAGAAGGTTGTAGAGATTGAGGCTGAAAACACTAAGCTGAGACAGATTATTGAGGAGAATGCAAAATGTGATGTTAGAGTCGAAGAACTAGAGCAAAAAAATACAGAGCTTAAGGTCAGACTCGCAATAGTGGAACAGAGTTCTATAGCAGTGGATGAATAATCAAAGAATGACAAGAAAGCAATTGCAAAGCAATCAGCCCCATCTTCTTGCATATACTCAGATATAGAGATAAAAGTAGAGGCGGAAAGTACTGAAAAGTATTTCATTGAAGATTTTTCATCTGATGATAATTTACTACCGATTCTTGACTATAGTCAAGGAAAGCAGAACTAATCTTTGCCATCTTGTATGAGTGATCAGAAATCATCAGTGAATAGGGAAATGGATACTTTCTTAGACGATGCACATAATAAAAGTGTTAGTGATGGGATAAGATGATGCAATAAGGAAAAAAACTCTACGTGAGATAGCCTCCCTTAAAGTATTATCTTCTGCGAAAAATAATCTGACTGTTTTTTTAGGAAACGATAAAATTGAAAGTAATACAAAAACTGTTTTCTCAGGAAATAATCAGATGGTTTCAGAGAAAACAGAAAAAATTGAGAAAACTTCAAGAAATCAGCAAAAGGTTATTCAAGATTTTGACAACTCTGATGAGATCAAACTCATTAAAAATCAGAATATAGAACTTGATTTAATATGAGATTTATAGAGTAACAATATTATTGCTTCATCTTTTGAAATTAGTGAGCAGTATTCATCCTCTTGCGAAGCATCTTATGGCTAAATTATAATATAAAGCCTAGTCCATTTATTTCGAAATACAACACAAGCTGAACATGAAGAGATTTTGTCCTGGGTTTATTATTCAGATAATTTTAAAAATAAGGTTGTTGAAATTCGTCATGAGATAGGAGTTACTGATAAAACTGCAAGAACTCAAATATACAAGGAAATGTTAGAACATCTGGCTGATGTTACGCCTGTTGCCTTACAAATTAAAACTCTTAGAGCCAAAAAAATTCGCAAATTGTTTGAAGAGAATGGTGTAGGGATTGATAAGATTAAGTGTATCAATTGCAGTACAAATGAGATTTCAAAATTAACTAATGAACAAATTCAAAATGTTATAGATCAAGTAACTTCAAAAACCATTTCCTTAAGAAACGATCAGAGTCATGTGCCTTTGAAAACCACCAATGGTGATGCATCTTCAAAACTTAAGGTAAACGTTTCTATCACATCTCATCCACCAATTCCTAGAACTACTTATGACCAATCCTATTTTCGCAATAAGACATTAGGCCAATATCCTACTTTATATAGAGAATTTAGTAGCGAAAATTTTGACTATTATAGTATTATTGACGAGACATCTTATGATTCCAAAAGGACTTACCCATTATGCAGTTTAGATCATGATGATGAGGAAAGTATAAAAGGTAGATATAAGGCTGAATCCTATTTTATTAAGTGTGAACAGCGTGAAATTGAGATAATTGCATAGTCTTATTATTTTTTACACATGTCAACTATTACCTAATTAGATTGATTTGCAATTATAGAAAAAAGCAACATGACCAAGACTGATAAAATATTAACTTCCAAATACCTGGATTGGCATACCAAATTAAGTGGATTACCAAGCATTTTGACGGATAAGATTCAGTACAGCTTATACAAAAAATATAAAAAAGAAACTGGACATGAGCTATGGCAATTATCAGAAGTACATGCATCGGAAATCATAAATTTGATGTCAGAAAATAAAGTATTTGATTTATCTTTTTCTGAACAATGTGAAGAAAAAGGACCTATTACTTTCGAAATCAAACCTGATCCAGAATTAATTATCAAATCTGTCTTAGAGCACTTTCCATACTTGAAATTCAGAAATAGTTTCAGAGGGATTGATAATTATGATTTTACATCACCTCAGCTGTAGAGCTCACCATGTCCTATTTGTGATGGAAAATATGGAAATTATGAATTACATGGCTCATGGTATTGCGAAAATGGGAATCAGTTCCCTTATGATCCTAAATTAGCGAAGTTGTATTCCCAAGATAAGTTAGAATATTGTCTTACCTGCAACATTTCAAGCAATAAACTCAAGTTCGCAATCGTATCATAGGAATTGAGATGTTTGGTAAAATTCTTGGGCTGTGCAACGTTTTTTTGATAATAAATTATCTCAAATTCGTGTAACTGATCAATAATCAATCAGCATGAGGCTGTGTGATCCTACTTTTCCAGACTTGAACGTTGAAAAATAAGATCTCTGGTCAAATCTTTATTACTTTGACAGAAAAAAAGCTTTTAGCCCCTTCGTATAACCTTCTCAGCGGACCAGCTGGAGCAATAGCACTTTTGATCAAGGAACTTATTTGCAAAGTGCAGGGTAAGTGCATTGCATTTCTAATCTCTTAAACATTGCTTTTTGCGTTGTCTTAGCTTGTTTTACATTCCATTTCTAGTAACGGAATCTCTTTATGAGCTAGAAAAGTCAGAAAAAAAAAGTTTTCAAGAAAAAAATGATTTACAAACCACCAAAGCTACATATGCTAATGAACCTCAAAATCCTATATCAACTTCTGAAGAAAGTTTTCAAGAAAAAAATGATTTACAAACTGCCGAAGCTACATATACTAATGAACCTCAAAATCCTATATTAACTTCTGAAGAAAGTTTTCAAGAAATTAATTTACAATCTGTTGAAGTTACAAACTCTCAAAATCCTATATCAACTTCTGAAAAAATTTTTCAAGAAATTAATTTACAACTCGCTAAAGCTACAAACTCTCAAAATCATATACGATTTCTGAGTTCTGAAATTAACACTCACTTATCCGAAAATGCTTCTCAGAAGCTTCATTACTATGGTAAATATTTGCAAACATTATTTATTTCTTGTTTATGAAGCACATATTAATTTTTCTCATTTTGGCAGAAATTTGAAACAAACACCTCAGTAAATGGCCGAGCCTCAACGAGTTTACAAATCATTTACACAATGTCAGCAAAGATCATGCATATAGTTCGTTTAAAAAAGAGATCGCTGTTTTAAAAAAGCTATTTGCAGAGGAACATCCCGCTCAGTTACGTCTTGCACAACTGGAGGGCCAACTAAAGGTAGTGTATTGACTAAGAAGAAGAAACAGTCAGCAGACTCATTATCATCTACACAGGCTGTATGCTTGTTAGTAAGCCGGTGCTTGTTAGCAGGGCGTTTCCTTATTTGTTTAGGTTATTTCCGAAGGGATTTCATGTCTGGTTGCATTTTATCATTTTGGAGAAAAGAAGGGTGGGATGCGTTTTCATTTAACAAGTTGCATGCTTGAGGGCAAGGTGTATCCTTGTTTGCAGAGTGCGAACTTGTTTTACTATCTCCCGGCAGGGTTTTATTATCTCAAGCAGAGTGTATCCTCATTTGTTCTGATAAAAGTGCAACGTTTTAGGCTGTTTTATGGACCTTATGAGTAACTTAACATGTTTATATGGTTTTTCTATACTAATTAATTAAATTGCCATTCAGAAGAAACAGATGCCACAATTTATAAGGAAGGTTCAAAGAAGAAAGATAGCAAAAGTAGCCAAAATGTTTACCAAGCAAGTTGTTGTGAAAAATGAACTGGAAATCCTGTTCGCAAAGCAAGAGGCTATGAAAAAAGAATTGGAAATCTTGTTCACTAAGAAAGATGTTGTGAAAAAGGAACTGGAAGTTGCACAGGTTATATTTCTTTTTGATTTCACCATGTTTATGATCATACTTAAAACTCATCTTGCTAATATTTTAATATTTAGGATTCTGTAATTCTCGGTGCGTATCACCATATCGATGATTATTATAAAAACTATCACAAAGCTAGTACATTATTGCTTAAGCGTAAACTGTTTGAAAATGGTAATAATACGGATGTCAAATTGTCTAAAAAAAACCGCAAATCATGAACTAAAAATAACCTAGTTTTTTTAGTTTTTTATTTTTATTATGTATTATTTTCGTGTTCTTTCAATTTATTATAAAAAATAAAGTTTTCATTTGCAAGTTCTGCTGATTTTTAAATAATTTATTTCGAAGCAAATCAAGCATGATGTGAACTAGAAAATTTATAAACTTCTTAATAACATTTATGGGGTGAGAATAATGCGATGGGACAATTGATACAATGGGTAAATATTTTCGCGAAAAAATAAAAATGTTTATATGCCAGTCTCGTATACATAATAGCGTTTGCTCTATTGTACGGATGACAATCACAGATCAAAATTTTTCTTGTATGACAAAAAAAACCATTCCCTCGGGGAACGATCAGAGTTACACAAAATTTTCTGATCACCCCATCTTACCAAAAGTACTCCAGAAGTAAAATCAGATCGATCACCTGCTTAACGTAAATGCGCAGAAGATATTGGTAAAATTCTTGCCAAAGAATAGGGGCTGTGCGATGTGTGAATTGCATATATATTTCGCATTATTTTTTTTTCTGACTCGATTTGCAATTTCGTTATATCATTCACGCTACTATCATACTAACAAAATAATATTTAAATATAGGTATTTTTTTGGAGCAATCAATATTTTGCATATGGGTATTGGGGATATCTATGCTAATCATTCGTCATTTTTATTGATTTGCAGAGGGATGGTTCTAAAAGGACTGGATTAACAAAGTGATGAAATGCAGTGCGTAATTGCTAGTGAAGATCTGAAGATGCTTTTTTCCGCTGAATTTACAAGCGCTATAAAAACAGGCCAGATAAATCATGCTGACAAGAAGTATTGGTAAAGCTAGTATATCCAATATGTCAGGCTCGACAAGAAGCAAGGCACTGAGAAAAAAAGGCAAAACTCTAAAATCTGGCGAATCGTCTCTTGACAATTATATGAAGCTTGCTTAGAATATCTTGAAAAATCTCGAAGATGATATCATCATGAATAAAGAAATTCCAGAGCTAGACTAATGTTCAGAATGTAATAATGAAATTTTAACACGACCTCTGAAGGTGATTACTATCCTCAGCTGTGGCTACACCTTTCACAGGATATGCATTGAGAAAAAGCTTCTACTAACCATACTGAATACATGTCTATTTTCTGATTGTGAAAAGAATGTTAATATTATAGAACCATTTCCTACTACTAATCAAGAGTCGCCAATTTCAACTTTATCCAACATGATGAGCGAAAGGTTTATCCTATCTTTACCAATCATACAGATGGAAGAAATTGAGAATACAGGATTTTAACAAGCTAGAAGTTATTTAAGATGCGTCAAATGTTTTGAAGACCTTTTCTCGTGTTTTTCATCTATAGGCTTTCTTCGAATCCCTCCTTAAGCTCTATCTCAAGCTCCCTCAAAACTACTCGTATACTTAACCTGTAAGTATATTATGCATTACTATTGCATCAACAGTCCACGCAAACTGTACCCTATCTGTCCATCGGCCAATGATATAAAACAGCACAAAAAGGAAGAAGAAATGGACGTGAATGAGAAAGAAAATGATGAGAATAAAGAAATTGAAATGGTTCCTTTAGAATTGACTCAATCTGAGAAAATCTCCTCTAGCAGTAAGGGTAAGAAGAAGGCTAACAATGTTACAGAATCTTCAACCAGTAAGAAATCTAAGAAACATGTTTAGCCAGAAGACTCTAATATTTTAAATAAGCTTATCTGGGAGTTATCTTCTGATACTACTCGACTTTCTGAAATTAAGAAAAGAAAAGGACTCCAAAGAGAAGCTGTACTAAAAGTTGAAATTAATTTAACTCTTTTTATAATAGCAGTTATAAGTATCTGACCATCTAAGATCGTCTAAAATTATTATATAACTACCCCTTAATTTTTCAAAAATATAATGTAACACAATACATAATCACCTGTAAATTTATAAATATCAATGATACAAAAAAAAAATTTAGATGATCATCAAACTTTCGCTTGAAAAATGGAACTTTCTTTAGAGAAACGATA